AGGTAGGATGTGTGTGGTGTGGGGTGTGTGTGTGTGTGTGTGTGTGTGTGTGTGTGTGACCGAGAGAGGGGCAACAGCAAGAGGGGGAACGAGCGCGAGCTCCTCAAACCGCAAGAGCTCCTCAAACCTTTTCAGAACCATCTGAAAAGGGAACTTGTTCAGCATTCACTTTACCTGGCTTCTCCTCAGGCAGCTGACTCACATAGGCAATTTGGTTTTTTTGGTACCAGAATTAAACTCAGGACCTTACACTTTCCAGGCAGGTACTGTGCTGCTGAACTATACTCCCCACCCAAGCAGACTATTTAAATAAACAGCCCAGGAGATTCTGGAAGGACCTCTTTACTGAAGACATTGCTACCACCTTCTCCCAGGCTCGCTCGCGCTCGCTCGCTCTCTCTCTCTCTCTCTCTCTCTCTCTCTCTCTCTCTCTCTCTCTCCCTCACAACCTTCTTTCCACCCATTCAAAGCTAAGACTTTCTCCCCAAGTCCAGCCACAAGGATTTTTCAGTTCCTGCTACAATTAGTAACATGACCAAAGGGTACTATAAGGCCATTTAGGTCTTTGATTATTCCAGTAAAGGTTTCATATACATCACTATTGATTTAGGGGTTTTTTTCTAAGTCTTAACTAGTTTTAAGACAGCAGTTTCTATGAATGTGGCCCAGTGGTACTAACAGCTCTCCTACTGTTTGGGAGTCAAAATCCCCAGTACTGCAAAAATAAACAAGACACAGCAAGCAAAGTTAGTGATTTGCAAGTGTTCGTGTGTAAGAGTTGAAGCCATACGTGGACACGCATGCCTGTAATCCCAGTACTCTGGGTGGCTGAAGCAGTAGGATTCCAAACTCAACTCCAGCCCAGGTAACTCCCAAAGACTCCAATTTCTGAATAAAAATTTAAAAAGGGTTGGAAACTCAACAGCATAAGTGCCTGCCAGGCATATGCAAGGTTCTGAGTTCAATTCCCAGTGCCAAAAAAAAAAAAAAAAAAAAAGGCAGGGGTGTGTATGTGTGTCAGAGTTGAGCATGATGGTTGTCTGTTTATAATCCCAGTAGATGTAGTCTGAAGGCCCTGCGTGTAATTGCCAGTTCCACCCACCTACCTAAAGAATTGAATGTAATTCTGGAGCCATGGTTATTATGGAAAAAGCCTCCCACAATTCACTGTGTTTAAACTTAACACTGAATGTTATAGGAAAATGACACTTAAATGTTCTCCCACAAAGAGAGCAAGCTATTCTGTGCAAGTCTAGTAATTACAATCTTTTCTAATTCTTAAGTAGCTTACTCACATAGTTAAGGGACCTACCAAATAAAAGCTGCTTCAACTGAACTGGTATTTGCCTTTAAAACTGTACCAAGAAAAAAGCAATGTGTTCCAGGGAAGAACAGTAGTCCAGCCAGCTCTTCATTATCTGAGGAGGAGGGATCTGGTAGCTAGCATTTACAAGCCCACAGATGACTCCCAACTGCACTGTACCCAGTACAGTTAACTGCAGCAACTGCTGACTTTCTATGGAGGCTACCTCTGCTTGAGAAAAGGAGGCGAAGTGCTGAGATCATCTCCCCAGATTCCCTTTAAATTCTAACAACTCAGAACTTGAAAACTCCAAAGGGTTGTACTACTCTTCCCAGTAATTTCCAAAGCCAAGGGGCACACATTAGGGAAGGAATGAGAGGCTGAGATTCACTGCTAGCCCTCCAAAGAATCTCTACAGAGGCAGGCACAGCAGCCCATGACTACAATCTTAACACTTAAGAGTCAAAGGGGTGGGGGGTCTCTTTCCAAGTTCAACACCAGAATGAGCTACACAGTAAGACCCTGTCTCAAAAAGCAAAAAAGAAAAATACTCTCTACAGCAAGAGTAGCTTTCAGGTCTTTCTTTCTCTTTTTTGCGGAACCCGGGATTGAACTCAGGCCCTGCACTTGCCAGACAAGTGCTTATTCCACTGAGCCATCTCCCTGGCCCCAAAACTAAGGATTTTTTTTTTTTTGGGGGGGGGGCAGAACTAGGGATTGAACTCAGGTCGTTGCGCTTGCCAGGGAAGCGCTCATTCCACTGAACCATCTCCCTGGCCCCAAAACCACACTTTATTTTTATTTTTTCATGCAGAACCGGGGATTGAGCTCAGGTCGTTGCGCTTGCCAGGGAAGTGCTTATTCCACTGAGCCATCTCCCAGGCCCAGGTCTTTAATGTTTATGTCATGCGTGAATAGAGATGTCCTGGATAGAGATGTCCATTTGGAACACTGAATAATCTCTCTAGCATGTGTGAGATTCGATATCAAGCACCAAAAAAGCAAGTGGACTAGTTTCATTTTTGTTAAGTAACACAGAATCCAAGAAGCTGCTTTTTTGTGTGGTAAAAATGGCCAGGCTGGCCTTGAATTTGCAATCACTGAGGCTCAACCTGAACGTCTCAGAATTATACTCAGTGTGCTGCCACACCCAGGTAGAATCTACAGCCGGGGAGATGGCTCAGTGGAATAAGTGCTTCCCTGGCAAGCAAGCGCAAGGGCCTGAGTTCAATCCACGGTTCCGCAAAAAAAAAAAAAAAAAAAAAAAAAAAAATTAGG